TACTACTACTGAGCCACCTAAATATCTATCTTGTATATCTGATTTTTTTCTACCTCATTATAGAATCCATATTTCTCACCATTGAACTGCATTTTGTTGGAAACAGTCCAGGGTTCAAATCTCTCAAGATCCTTTATAACTTGAGCTTTTCTCCCAAAGTGTTAAGAATCCCTATTTGGGGTTGTCGGAATCTTTCCTATGTCATTTATAAAAAAATGTTGAAGAGTACTGTAATAACATCTGGGAGTGACCTTAGGAGACATCAAGAAAAGGGAGAGCCAGGGGAGTGGTTGGAAGAGGCAGCTTAGCCTGCAGCAGGAATGTGGGCATGTTTGACATCTCAAGAAGGACTCTCCCTAGTTTCTCAAGCTTTGTAAAAGCAATGGAAGAAATGTACTTTCAGATTTGCAAGATTCTGTTAATATATAGCCGTACCATAAAGTAGAATTAGTTATCTGAGTCTGCTTCCTGTCTGGATTACATCACAAACGCTAGATCGAAGACAGAACCCAGAGGTATTTCTACTACATATGACTTTCCATGTGGATAGAGATATATTAAGGATGCATGTTAAGTTTGGTAGTTCATACTTAATGTGGTGGGAGACAGTCTATCTCACAATGTCCCATTTTATCAAGAAGGCAGCTATTGTAAACTTAATCAAACGCCTTATTAAACTCCAAGTATACTGCTCCCAAAGCATTCCCTTGCTCTACTAATTTAGTCTTTGTAAAAAAAAGTAAGTTAGTCTGGCACCACCCATTTTAACAATTCCATGCTGGCAAATAGAATAGAATATTACAGAACGGAATAGAATAGAATAGAATTCTTTATTGGCCAAGCATGATTGGACACACAAGGTATTTGTCTTTGGTGCGTATGCTCTCAGTATACATAAAAAGAAAAAAAAACATTCATCAAGAATCATACAACACTTAGTTGCAGGTTACTAATAAGCAATCAAATCATACTAGGAAACAAAACAATATAAATCATAAAGATACAAGCAACAAGGTTATAGTCATAAGTGGGAGGATATGTAATTCTAGTAATCCTTGTTCCTTTCTAAACGCTGGCAAACTCACAGCTTGATATGCCCTAGGATTTTCCCAGGAACTGATATCAAGCAAGCTGGCTGGTATATATTGTTCTGGCTCCGCCTCCCCTTTGTAAGATTGGAACAATGTTTTCTCCAAATTCTGACAATTTCCCTGTACTCAAGTTCCCATCAGGTTCCAATGACTTGAATTCATTAAAAATAGCAAGGTCTTATTCTTACCACTTTTGACTTCTATCCCCTATGGTACATCTTCTGACAGGTTAGACCGCTTTTTCTTTTCGTGAAAAGGAAGATGAACATAGAACTTAAACAGTTCAACCTTCTCCCTGTGAGCTATCACTCCTTGCCATGTTTCCCAACCAGTAGACTGACCCTTTATTCTGCACATATCCAAATTCCATAAGCCTTTTTCCTTTTGTTATTTTGATGTTCACTGCAACACTCAGCTCATTCCTGACTCCATCCTTGCCATTTCCTAAGGTTGGGCTTTTGTCATATGCCCCCCTTTCTATATTTTGAAATTTATCCTTTTTGTTTGTAAGATCGTCAGAAAAGTCTTTATGCAATCACCCAATCACGTTGTTTGTCTCAATTTTTTTTTCTATTTGGCATTGGTTGTGTTTGTTTATCTTATTTTTCAGAATTTCTCAACTTTTTTTCCTTCAGGAAGTCTACCTTTAGAATTCTTCCTACTGTTCCCCTTAGCTTACTGAAGCCAGCTTTCTTGAAATCTAGAATACTAACCTAACCACCTTCAGTTCTTCCTTCCTGCAATATGGTGAATTCTAGAATCACATGATCACTATTTTCCAAACTTCCTACAACTTCCATTTCCTCAACCATTTCTTCCTATTGGTAAGTGTTAAACTCAACACAGGCGATTCTGCATTTCCAAACGCAGGCTTACATATCTTTTTTTATTGAAATTTTTTGAAAAAAAACTTTTACATATGTTTACCTCCCTCCCCCTCCCCTCCCCAACCAATCCCCCCTAACCTCCTCCCCCCCCAACTTTACAGAACCAATACAGGATATAAATCTTTAACAAAGATATTCTAAAATAAACTTTAAAAAAAGTTAGTATCATCTTTCATTTGAGCTTTAACTCCTCTTTGCTAGGCTAACTCTAAACAGATTATATCATTCCTTGTTTCTTCAGTCATAAACTATCTGGAATTTCTTAGTCCCATATTTATTTTGAGTATAGTCAATCCATCTTCTCCACTCCAGTTTACAGGCTTACATATCTTGTGTGAGGTGCAGCCCATCTTTTACCAAAAGCTTTTCTGTAGATGCTGTGAAAACCATGGTCTAGGAATTCAACATCATCCGAGTAACACTATTTCTTGAGCCAGCAGTTCAAATTCAAAATCTTCTGCACCTTTCTTGGGCCATGGCTTTTAGTTGGAAGGATGGACAAAAATATCATCTCTACACCAAACCTTTTTGCCTTTCTGGCTTTTCTTTGTAGTCCTTCAATATGGTTTTCAGGTTCTTTTTGGAAGTAATCTTTGCTCCAACACGAAATAAGAAAAGTATAATGGTCACTAGATCTGTTTAGTCAAGTCAGCTCTCTAGCACATCACAGATATTTTTACCTGGGCAACAATATACTGCCTCTCAGCACTGAAACTGATTGTGCAGCTTCTTTAGGAAATTGGGATGGAGTCCTTTTGATTGTTTAGGTCAGGGGGGGGGGTCAAATTCAAGGCCTGTGGGCCAGATCCAGCCCACGGGATGCTTAAATCTAGCCCGTGGGGGTGTCCTAGAAACAGCGAAGGACCAGCCTGTGGTGCCTCTGCCAACAAAAACGGAGCCCATGGGACTGCATGCAGCCTCCCTGAGCTCCATTTTTGTTAGCAGAGGGCTGCAGGAGCCTGTCATGGCTGAAAACAGAGGCCAGGAGGGTGGCATGTGGCCTCTCTGGACACCATTTTTGCTGGCAGAGGGCTGCAGGAGGCCATTGTGGCCAAAAACTCAACGAGTGATGTTGAGTGGGCCATGCCCACCTCAGCCACACCCCCTGGCCACGTGTAGTCCCCAGCCCCTCAAAGTCAAACACAGCCCTGATGTGGCCCTCAATGAAATCGAGTTTGACACCCCTGGTTTAGGTTCTCTGCTGTCAGTCCAGAAGCTCATCATCTCCCTTGATGAGTCTCTATATTGCCAAACATATCTTCATGCCCAGCTGCAATGCAATGAGTTTGCACTCATTGTAGGTATGGTTGGAATCCTTGGGCAGGAACCCAAACTTACAACATACTTGGAGATGATGACTCCTTGTTCATTCCTGTATATTTCCAGAAGACTCTGCAATTCCAAACAGTTCTTTCTTTTCTATATCCCTTTCTCTAGGCCAGGGGTGTCAAACTTGATTTAATTGAGGGCCACATCTGGATTGTTTGACTTGGTAGGGTGTGTGGCGATGATGGGCGTGGTCAGCTTGACATCACTCATGCCAGGGATGCCTGTGGGGGCCCAAGCGCTCTGCCAGCTAAAGAGGGCTCCCGAGCTCCATTTTCAGCTTGGATGGCCTCCTGCAACCCACTGTCAATAAAAATGGAGCTCAGGCGAGCCACTCCCCCTCCTGAGGGGCTGAGCTCCCTTTTTGCTGGCAGAGGCACTGTGGACCGGTCCTTTGCTGTTTCCAGGGCGGCCCCACAGGCCAAATCTACGCACCCCATGGACCAGATCCAGCCTCCGGGCCTGGAGTTTAACACCCCTGCTCTAGCCTCTCCAGAAAAATGGAGTGACAATTAATAGATTTCCTAAATTTTGGCACCTAACTGTGCAATTTCCTAGCTTGAGCATTTAAGAAGCCCAGTTTCTCTGCTGCTCAAGGTAAACCTTCTATTCCATTGACCTCCAAGGAGCCGAATACAATAGAGGAGGGCAGTCTCTCTGGACTTTGGTAATTCTCCAAGTCCCAAAGGAATTTTGAAATGTGAGAACTGTTACACAACTGAAATTTTGCATTTCATTTTTGTTCTTTCCACTGTAAATGTAATGTTGGAAAGAGATTCTGTGAAGAAACTGGGATTCTCCCAAGTCTGAACCAAACTACGTCAGATAGGGAAAACGGGGACAAAAGAAAGACAAAGTAAAAAAAAAGGGTCAGATTCAGTCTGGTCCTGCAGAAATGAAAATCGAGAAAAAACAACCCATTAATGAATCCTTAATTCAGGGATTCATTAATGGGCAACTGGGCACCTGCTCAGAACGCCAACCTCTTCATTCTAAGCCCCCTTCCACTTCCTTCCAGGTCTGATGGCCAGCGCACCACTTTTTTTTTTTTAAGAGGCTGAAAGTATCCCAGAAATCTGGTCCGGCAGGATTTCCCCAATTTGTCTGGGAGTAAAAGGCGTGTTGGGACAAAACTGAGAACCAGCTCGCTGTCCAGAAAACAGATACTATTTAGGTCAATTCGATCGGGAGTGAGGCGTTTTAGTGGCGGGCGCTTTGGCACCGAGGCTGCAAGGCTGTGTACGCCAGTTGCACTGCGGGATGAACCCGGAGCGCAGGTTTGGCTCCCGCCGAAGAAGCGAATCGGGTCGGGTCGATCTGCGGGCCGGCGATTCGAAGACCGCCGGCTGACTTTGCCTCCGAAACGAAATCAGAGTAGAGGCGACCAGATCCCGCAGGAGCGCTGGCGCGCAAAACCCCTCGTGCAGCTACTCTCTCAGGCTGCTGCTGGCGACGGCCCGGGACGGAGTCGGGAAATGTGCCGCTGCAGTTGCGCTCCTCCCTTTTTGGTTTGGAGGAACTACCGCCGCGCCTCCTCCTTCGTCCGCGTCACAGAAGCTTCACTTGCAACGGCAACTGTTTCTTCGCGCTTCCTTCCTCAGAGGCACCGACGCGGGCTAAAAGGCAGGAGGTGAGGGCGGGGGGAACCGGGCCACGTGCACGAGCGGCCAGGCCAGCGGGACGCCCTGCCTGCTCCCTTCTCTCCGTCGGAGCGCAGCCAGGTAAGAACCCGCTTCGACGGAGAGGCGCAGCGGCGCTGCTCCGAAGTAGAGTTCACTTTTCAGGGGGGCAAAGAAGTTTCCATCTGCCTGTCTTCGCTCCGGTGGAAGAAGAGTAGAGCCGTTCGCTTTAGAAACCAAGGTTGGCCAGCCTCGACTGCCTGCTTGGGAATATTTCCCTCAGGACGGTAATATAAATGCTTTCCGCCCTATTCTCCCCCACCCCACCCCGTTTGGAATTGACTTGGCTTTTGCTCTCCAGCACTTGGTTTCGGGAACTCAGGCAGTACTTGGGTGCTTCCCGTGATTGCAGAGGATGTGACTGACCATTTCCCGAATTTAATTTTAGCATGGCTTTGGGACTTTTGCAGCATTCTCGCCGTTTTTACAATGCAAGATATTAAGTTTGCTTCATTTCTGGGAGTCTGGCTCTAAGAGATTGGCTGCTAGAATAACAGCAGGCTGAAGAAACACTTGTCCCCCTTCCCTTCCTTTCCCTTCTAGGTTGTGCCTGGAAAATAACTTTTACTTCATGGGGGTCTGTATCAAGTTGTACTGCAAGCTAAGTTATTAGCCATGGTTACTACTTGGGATAAGCCATCATCTTAGTATAGTTTGTAAATCAGATCACATTCAACCATGCTGTTTTTGTTTTGTTTTGTTTTTAAATAGCTTTGCATGGTATGTACCATATGTAGCACTTAATCCTCAGCCAGGATACAAATTCAGCATATTGTTGCATGAGCATGCCCTCTTCTCATGTAGTCCTTGACGTGCACTCCTAACATACAGTGGTAGTTGCCTTGTAGGGCAAGTTAAGGGTATTGAGTTCTTCTGAGGATGTTTTGTCGGCAGAAAGAACCATTTAAGGAAATTACCCAGGCTGTAGTCATATCCAGGCTGCTGACAAAGATGTGAAACCTGGATTGTAAAAATGCAGGGGATGACTAGAGGGCAGTAAAAAGTTGAGGATTTTCTATATCTCTTTGCTTCATCAAGCAGTTGCCTCAATTTTTGCAACATTGTTATTGCCTTGTGATGCTCCCCCATTGTCTCTCTACATAAGGAGTAGGGGAACAATTTTTGTGTGCAGTGCCAGGCCAATACACGTGCCCAATTACGATAGCTAAAATAATACATTTGTATCACTAATTAAATTAACATTAAGGAAGTAGTAATGATTTACCCAGTCTGGATTCTGTACTTTGGAACAGAGTCAGAAAAGAAAGATTAAGGGGCAAGGAACCAAGTCTTATGCTGAGAGAGTGAAGCAACTGTGCATATTTAGCCTTCAATAGATTGATAGGAAAATATGATGGTGTTCTATAAATTCTGCAGTGATGTCTCATTGAAAGAGATCAGGATCTCCTCTGCAGGTTATGAAATGATGGGTTTAAGTTACAGGAAAGCACTTATATATACTTTATACTTTATTGGTAGGTCTTGAGGTATATATATAATCAGAATTATGATAATGAGAAATCAATGGAATAATGTTTTACTTTGGATATACCAGATACTACTAAATATTATTAAGTTTGTCTTTGGAAAATCAGCTCTTCTTGGAAGGAGAAATAAACCACCCATATTTTTCCCAATAATGTTTTTTTTAACGAAACTAAAAGGATAAAATCAACTACAGGTAGTCCTTGATTTACAACCATAATTTGGCCCAAAATTTCTGTTGCTAAGTGAGGCGTTTGTTTTTTTGTCCCCTTTTAAGATCTTTCTTACCACAGTTGTTAAGTGAACCACTGCAGTTGTTAAGTTAGTAACATGGTTGTTAAGTGAATCTGGCTTTCCCATTGACTTTGCTTGTCAGAAGGTTGCAAAAGGGGATCACATGATCCTGGGACAGTGCAACTGTCATAAGTACAAGTCAGTTGCCAAGTATCTGAATTTTGATCCCATGACCATGGGGATGTTGTAGTGGTCGTAAGTGTGAAAAATGGTCATAAGTCACTTTTTCAGTACCGTTGTAACTTTGAACAGTCACTAAATGAACTGTTGTAAGTCGAGGACTATCTGTAATAGAATTTCAATGCTAGAGCCACATTTGCTGAGAATCCAATGAACATATCTGGGCAGCCTTAAAATTAAGATCCAATATATCTGAATGATATCAAATTGGAAAAGGCCACTGTAATGATATGCACATTAAGGCTGTGCAGTGCTTCAGAAATAACTTGGAAAAGATCTTTTGGAACTTGTGTGCAAATGAGCAGAACATTTGCCTGAACTTTTTGAAGACAGTCGCAATTTTTTCCTAGGATTGCTTGGTTGCCCTTTGTACCTACTATGTGATTATGTGCTCTCATGCTGTAAAGAAAAATGACATATTGAGCCTGGTTATAATGAATGTATGTTTGATTCTGAGAGCAGTTAGATAAAACTAAAAATTAGCTAGACATTGTAGGAAGAGAACTGAGTTGGTTTTTGTTGCAAAAATCAGAAGCAGTCTGGTGTGCCTTTTTCAACTAACAATCTTTTATTAATAGGCACTAGCTTTTGTAAACTGCAGCTCACATCATCAGCCATGTAGTATGTCTAGAGCAGGGGTATCAAATTCTATTTCATTGAGGGCCACATCAGGGTTGTGTTTGACCTTGGGGGGGGCATAGCCAGGGTGGGTGTGAACAGCTCTACGTCACTCATGTCGGGGGCGCCTGTGGAGGCCCAAGTGCTCGGCCAGCGAAAACGGGCTCCTGCACTCCGTTTCAGCTGCAGTGGCCTCCTGCAAACCTCTGCCAGCGAAAATGGAGCTTGGGAGTGCAGCCCTCGCGAGCTCCATTTTCGGCTGTGATAGCCTCCTGCAACCTTCTGCCAGTGAAAACAGAGCTCAGGAGGGCCACACACAGCCCCCCCCCCCCGAGCTCCATTTTTGCTGGCAGAGGCCCTGCGGGCCAGTCCTTCACTATTTCCAGGACAGCCCAGCAGGCCAGATCTAAGCACCCCACGGGCTGGATCCGGTCCCCGGGCCCCAAGTTTGACATCCCTGGTCTATAGTCTAGACTGGTATGGAATTTAAATATAGATGAGAGAAGGAGGGTAAAGGTAAGAAAATAGTTTGTTTATACTGGTTACATGCGAGGTC